AGGGGGCAAGGGAGGGGAGGGAGGAGGGGAGGGGGGGTTAGGGGTTTGGTGGGGGCGTACGATACAACCGCTAAAAAGCAGGTCCAGATGAAAACGAGAATTGCCGGGATGCAATGGTAGGTGGGGTTGGAGTCGGGGGCGGGAGTGGGGTTGGGGTGGGGTGATTGTATCGGTTTCCCGCAACCCATAGAGGCTTCATTTCCTTTTCCCCCTCCCCACCTTCCCCTTTCCCCCTTCCCCTTTCCCCTCCCCCCCCCCTTCCATATTCTCATCCGTACAATCCCAATTGCCAAATAGTTCTGTTCAGTCACCGTTCAGTGCCCTGCTCTTCGCTCCTGTCCGGGTGGCCCTGTGGCTCTTCCCTTCCTCCCCTTCACCCTCTCCCCCCCCCCCACCCAAACACACACACCCAAACACACACACACGCCGCTCACCCGCGTTGTACTCCCGTATCAATAGCAACAAAAGCGCATCCAAATCAACCGCCGGACCCGCCACCCCTGGAGTCACAATCGCCGCCAGTCGTACACTGAGCGCGCCGTCCAGCTCGCCCGGCGTCTGTACGTTGAACACGTTGCCAACCAAATCGAGTACGGCAGGCATGGGGATCTGCACCCCCTCCGCCGTACCCCAGCGCTTGGTTACAATCCGCCAGGTGCCGCTGAGCAGCACCCGCAGGCAGTGCAGGAGGTGGAGGAAGAAATGCCAGGAGGGCGCGGGCCAGTGAACACCCTCCGGGGAGAGGTTCAGGAAGTAGAGGAAGGCGGCGACCTGGGAAAGGGGTGGGCGGGAGAGACGGGGGGAGAGAAGGGGGGAGAGACGGGGGGTTTGGGTATTTGAAGCGTGTTGAAAAAGGAAGGGACACGCGCGCGCACATACACACACACCCGCCAGCATAACCCTCCATCCATTCCTCAGGACCCTCAGGACTAGCACTCCCCTCCCCCAATACCCCAAAACTATTCCCCCCACTCCTGGACACCGGGGGTTGGGAGGGGGGGAGGTACGGGGGGGGATCCCAGCTCCCCTACCTCCTTTCCCCCCTTGATTATTTCCCCGTACTTGCCGTACCTTTGTGTTTCGTGCCTGCGCCTGCGCCGAGGTGAGCAGTCGCGCCACGGGCGACTCGGGGTCCTTCAGCAGCTCCAGTCGGAAGGTCCCGGGTGCCCGCTGGGAGGTGTAGTGCGCCATGATAGCGTCGTGGATGGTGTCGTGGCGGGGGGCGCCCCAGGTGGGCACCTCCTGGGGGGGGGAGAGGGGGGAAAAAACGGGGGGGAGGGGGAAAACCCGTGAAGATTGTGGTAGAGCCCGCGAGATCGCGCTGGAGGGGAAGCATTTCGGGCCTGACGCCGGTACTCCCCCCCACATCCCCCCCACACCACCCCACACCACCCTCTTTATTCAGCACCAACCGATTTACGTGTCAGTGGGAAGTGGCTGTGTATGTGCTCACCTCCACCGTCCCAGCCGCCCGTACGTATATCCGTACAATCGTCTCCAGCAGGGCGGGCAGTGACAGCACCAGGCGGGGGGCCAGGGGGGGCAGGTGGTTGGCGAAGCGGTACCACTCATCCGGGCACTCCGTGTCGGTTTGACAGCCCACACACACGGCGTGTGTTTCCCTGGCACCGGGGGGTGGGGGAGGGAGGGGAGGGGGAGGTGTGAGGAGGTTGGGGAGAAGGGGAAGGTAAGGCCCGAAAGAGGAACTCGTTGGGCCCCCGGGTTCGACCGTAAGAACACCCCATCAACAACAATAACAACACACTTGATGTGCTGTTCGCGTTCCTCCTCACCCCTCACACCTTCTCTTACCCACCCCCCAACCTAAACCCCCCAACCTAACCCCCCAACCCCAACCCCAACCCCACCCTACCCCCCCACCTGTCCCTGTACGCCTGCAGACTGAAACCCAGTACGGCACACGCCCCGGCCAGCGCGTCCAGATCCCTCCGCGCTGAGGGCAGTTCGGCTCTCAGCTGCTGCAACTCGCGCTGGGAGTCCTTCAGGCCGCTGTGCGGTGCCGGTGTGTGTGTGTATGTGTGTGTGTATGGGTTGGGGGGCGCATGGAGAGGTGTAAAGGGGAGGGGAGGGGAGGGGAGGGGGATTAAGCGGAGGACATAAAAAGGGGAGGCGAGGGGAGGGGGTAAGGTCTTCGGGGGTTGAGGGGTGTGTGTGTGTGTGCGTGTCTGTGTGTGGGAAGGTGAAGGGGGGAGACGTGGGACGGAAAGGCAGGGGTGAACATTCGTAGGGGGACCGTAACACTGAAACACAAATGTCAGTCCGTCCAAGCCCCAGCACCCAAGAGCCCGGCACGGCCCCCCAGCCCCCCCTGGACACATCCTATTCCCGCCTCTCGCCCTGACCGACCGTGGAATGCGCCCTGCCAGCCCTGTGTGTGTGTGTGTGCGCGCGCGCGCGCGTGTGTGTGTGTGTGTGTGTGCGTGTGTGTGTGTGTGTGTGTGTGTGTGTGTGTGTGTGTGTGTGTGTGTGTGTGTGTGTGTGTGTGTGTGTGTGTGTGTGTGTGTGTGTGTTTTGCCCTCACCTTTCCACGGTAGGTAACAGGGTGGGTATGAGCTCCGTACAGATGAACTCCTCACGCATCCGCATCTCCTTCACATAGCTGAGGAGGACGAGGAGGGGGAGGTGAGGGAGAGGGGTAGGAGGGGTAGGAGGGGGAAGAAATGGTGTGAACGAGCCACCAATCAATTTTAGGCTGGAGCCTCCTCTTCACCGTTTGCAAGGTCTTGTTAACTAGAGTTCACGCCCTCAGGGCTGGGAGGCCCAACAAAACCGTACGAACCCAAAACCCAATCAAACCGTTAGGATACGCCCCCTCCCGCAAATACACACACCTTCGCGGAATATCCCCTTCCCCCCTTCTCTCCCCCCTACGAAAAGATCTCCCCCTTCTCCCCCTTCCACACCAGTCCCCCCAACATGAAACCATTAAACAACCTGTCCCTTCCTCCTCCTGCCACCATATCGTATCCATCTCATTTGCCGTACGCCGTACACCATGGGCTATACGACTTACTTGTAATGCAGCTGCGCAATCTCCAGGTCCTTGGCTGCCAGTTGCTCCGAAACCTCCCTCAGCCTCTCCCTCAGCCTCTTCGAGAACCAAGCCATGATCCCAATCTTTACAGAGGCCCACTTGTTGGTGGATCGGTGGATGCGCTGGGTGAGGCCGCGCGACTCGATAATGTCCATAACCTGAACATGGCCATCCACAACAACAAAAATAAAATCGTATATTTAATATAATAATAAAATATATAACATGACAAAAATAACTTAATTTTAATATTAAAAAATTATGTTATAGTAAATTAAATATTTATAAATACAGCAAAAATGCAATATTAAAAAACTAAAACTTACCACGGTCGACACCTCCGTCGCGTATTCGTCACTGTCGTCGTCTTGTCCCGTCACCGAATGGGCTCCGAAACCCGACATGGGCCGACTCTCCACCTCCCGCAACGCCGAGGAGTTCATGCGGGAGATCACCCGAGGCGACCGCGTCGTCAGAGCGCCGCTGCTGCCGCCGCCGCCGGCGATGCCGCCGCTGGTGCGCCGCCGCGGCGACAGCGGGCTCATACCGATGCCAGTTCCGCCGCCGCCGCCGCCGACGCCGCCGCGCCGCGGCGACGCCGCATGAGCGCTCACCGCTCTGGCTCCCTGGCGGCCGAGCCGCGGGCTGCGGGGACTCTTGCCGGCGACGACGCCGCCGCCCTCGCTCGACGGACCCACGTCAAGGTTGTCGTCGTACCCGTCGTCGAACTCGTCATCCTCCGGAACCGGACGTGTGATGGCGCTGCCGGGGCGGTTGCGGAGGCCGTTGCCGCTACTCGTGGGCCCTGGTGCCGTACTACGAGCGCGTGGCGACGGGCCCGGCGGCAGGCTACCTGGGTTGACGGCCGAGATGGGTCTGCTAACGGAGCCAGCACCAAGGTGG